CTTCTACGTCTGACAACCCATTAATTTATATCGATAGAATATAGTGCACTATGCCATATAATGAGAAAATGATGTCCTATATTACTTTAAAACAAGTCGAAGAACACAATGGTAGCGACAAAAAATCTTCGTGGATTGTTTTATATGGGAAAGTATATGACATAACATCGTTTCTTAATCTTCATCCAGGAGGTAATATTATTCAATATGCAGTAGGAATTGCTGATGCAACATGTTTATTCGAGAGTTATCATAGTACAAAGAGCATAAACAAATCTCAAGCCTTATTAATGAAACATGGAAAATACCTTGGAGAACTATCTATTGATGAAGATTCTCAGTGTAAACATACGGTAAATACTGACACAAGATTAGATTCAGACAAATTCTTTTTCACACTTCGCAATCGAGTCGATAGTTATCTTGAAAAAAATTATGGTGGTCGTCATGGATTTCAATGGATATGTCAAATCGAAGCTATATTAACATTAATATTATATTGTATAGCAACATATTATAAAAGTTTTAAATATAACTATCTTGCAGCTGTATGCTTGGGTATAATTATGGCAAGAATGGGATTTTTAATGCATTCAGGTAATCATTGTGGTATATCATCAAATCGATATTGGAATCGATTTGTTGGTTTTTTCATGGATATTATTGGAAGTTCTCATTATACATGGAATTATGAACATCAAATAGCACATCATATTATGCCTAATCAATATAATAGAGATAACGATTGTCAAATAGGAGAACCATTATTTCGATTTCATCCACTTATTTCTGATCCTGATCAACAAATCAATAATAATTATATCAATGATAAATCATCTCGTTTTCGTTTTTTCTTACGTCGATATCAACACATTCTTGTTCCTATTTTAATGAGTATTGGATTTTTCAAATGGACAATAAATGATATAGAATTTTTAATAAAATCGAAAGCTGGGAATATTCGTTTAGCTAACAAAATCATTATTATCATTTTAACATTAATATCGAAAATTTTATGGTTTATAATTCACCTTATTATTCCTTATATATATTTTGGTGGAATATATACATTAGTTACATTCATCATTTTTATGGTTATCGGTGCATATTATCTCGAAAATATATTTATTGTCAATCATATTCAAGAAAAATTGCAAATACCAACAATTAATCTTTCAAATCGAGGTTCATTGCATTGGGCAATTCATCAAATCTATACAACAGCTAATTGGAAATCTGGTAGTTTTATAGCCACTTTTCTTAGTGGTGGACTAAATCATCAAATTGAACATCATCTTTTTCCTTCTATGAATATATATCTTTATCCAAAAATTGCACATATTGTTCAAGAAGAATGTTACAAATTTGGTTTACCCTATCATAATTATAATTCATTTACAACAGCATGGATAGATATGTTTTTTTATTTGAAAAAATTAGGTAATACAAATACAAATATAAATTCAAATCATCTTCAATGATAATTACACAATAAAAGACAATATTTCAATCAATCAATTTCAAAGAACAATCGAAAAAAGAATTTTTATCTTCCTTATTTTTCATTAGGTCAAAAACTGAAGACTTCAATCATTTACCTTTATGATTCTTATATAGAATATTTTTAAATTGGTTATAGGTAATAAACAAACCATTATTAACAGATAATTCATACAACTAACTCTTTCAAATATTATTTGTTTACAAATAGAAATAGACAATATCTATTTATATCGATTTATTCCAACTATTTCAATCATAATTAACTGAATCAATTAAATTAGTTCTCTCAGAGTACATAACAATCTTCGAGATCTATTTCACTGAAACGAACAACTCAAATACAATGATGTTCTTTTATAAATAGCATTAGGATAAAACAATTTTTTTTGTCAATTTATTTTTATCGATTTCTATCAATTATAGAAATAGATGTGATTATGTATCGCCATTATTTATCGATAAATTATCCTATGTAGTTTATCAATATAGATCGTTCTCATCTATATATATATATATATCTGTATAGGAAAACGGTACTAATACAGAAGTTTCTACTTTTCGAACAAGATGAGACTTTGTCAGGATTGAATCATAATTGATAACATTTCAACATAATTACAAAAAAAAGTCATTTTCAATAAATCTGATTAATTATCATCAGATAAAAATTGTCAAAAACTAACTAAAACTAGTAAAAAAGGCAGTCACTATACAATCGAATACTTAACTTGAACTTGCGTCATATTGATTTCGGAACTGTGTTTTTCATAGAGAGAACTATGAATTTATTCTAATTATGACTTAAGTCCAATTCAATTTTAATTTTATATTTGAATAACTTCAATTGATTAAATTGGTTGATTTCTAAACATGAGTGACAATCAATTGTTATTTCATAATACAAATAAAGTATCCTATACATTAAATAATTCTTATTCATTTTTAACTTTTTATATAAAACTTTTAATTGATTCGAATATTAAAATATAAAAAAGTACTGTGTTTGATATTCTGATGAGAAAACACATGTAACTATTAATCAATTATAAATTTCAATTATCCATTATACCTTTTTATTGATTATTAAAAATAAATCCAATAACAATCCAATACAAATTTTCCAAACATATAAAGCTGGTACAACAAGTAACCATAAACCAATCCCCTAAGCATACTTTCATGCGATAGAAAAGGATTAGTTACAGGGAAAAACGTTGATCGGAAGGTTTTTTCATTGTTCTTATCCTATGTATTTTCCTTCTGGGAAATGCCTTCGAATTTGAATTGATTAGATGACGGTTACAAAGATTAAGTATCGTTTCTCTCATTGATAATGGCTAGATGCATAGGATACTTCTCAAACAATAAATATAGAGTAGCTTTACCAAATTCAATTCGAGTTCTTCTTTGATACTGTCGTGCACATAGGACAGATGATTTTGAATTGAGAAGATTTGTTAAGTACATGTGAGTTAATGCGAAAAAGAAGCAAAACATTTTCTCCTCAGATTAATTAAGAAAAAGTCTCCTGATGCGATACTTATCTTCTCATACTTCGGTTACTTTTTAGTCAAAAGTAGAACGTTTTTTCACATTAGCTAATACATTTTTACACGCTTTTGTTCTTTCTACTGGTGAAATTATACGAGATAGTTCGAAAATAGTCAACATTGCAGCCGAGCATATTCCTCTCATTTCGTGAGGCAATCAATACTCACACAAAAGCAAAAAAAAATATATTCTAAACGTATTTCTATCATAGATGTCCATGGCACCGCTGCCGCTGCCGCGGTGCCAACGTGCCAGAGACGGGTTTCTTAAAAAGTGATCACGGCAGTATTTTTTTTGAAGACATTGAAAAACTCCATGAATTCAATGGAATTCTAGTGTTTACAAATGAAATACTCGAAGACTGAATGAATCTAATGGACTAGTACCAATATTTATGGTCAAATACAGTTGCACCAGTGGAATTAGACACACTTTTTTGAAAACCATTGCGGCGACGGCATGTTTATTTTACAATTCATCGCAGCAGCTTCTTTTTATCATTCATCACGGCGCAGCGACTTTTTTTAATAAACCATTGCGACGTGGCAGGTTTTCAGCCGTGATGGACATCTCTGATTTCTATATTGATATAGTGTGCATAAATAACATGAATGGACTATTATAATGTTCTATAAGTTGGGACTGATCGATATTGAAACCTTTGGTAAAAGTACTTGTTTGAAGTTTCACAAAAGAAAATTTTCTAATCTAGTACCTTGTAAAATTTCTCAAAAAAAAAGTGATCATATTTTTTCATAAAACAAATCTGTCAAAATTGAGAATTTCAATAATTGTTTCATATCTGAGAAAAATAATTATGAATAATTAACATAAACTGAAAGGAATAGTGTCATAGATTTGAGATGATCAATAAGAGTAACGAAACTATTTTTCTATATTGAGTTGATTCGAGTTAAAGATTATCATCGCGAAAAACGAAACTAAATAACGAGTCAGTCGTTGTTTTATTTCGGCTAGAACTACCAAATCATATCGCTCATTTATATATACGAAAACGAGATCAATATTATTCAGTTTTTTTGTATTTCAATAAAACTTTTCAGACGAAATGTTGTGTATTGATATCATATCTAATATCTTATCATTTGTGATAAGACTTAAACAATGTTATATTGAAATAAAAACTATTAAAGAAAAAATGTTGACATTCTTTTTTTTCCTTCAAATATAAACATACAAATGTCTGAAATAAACTGATATTTAACGCCATCTTTTCTATTCTAGAGACTAATTGGAATCTTTAAATGTAATCGTGCACAAGTGTGTGTAGATACATACACGTATCGTATATATAGATTATCTCAGTCTACTAAATCCTCTTGATTCGAAATGCAGAAGCGGATAGATGTCCCTATTATACGATATATTTCAATTCCGTTGTTGAAAATAGGAGCTCCAATTTCATATAAAATTTAAAATATTGAAAAATTTCAGTTAGACTATTTCGTTAAGAAGTGAATTCCGTTGAACCTAGTTGAAGATTGATATTGACAAATGACTCATCAATTTTTATACTATATTGTTTATTTCCTCCGTATTATGATTGGTAAATAATCGATAAAACTTTTTTTCCGTCAAAGAAAAAAAAATGTCATGTGATTATAATTGATTAACCAATATCAAACCCGAATGTTGTTTCCTATCATATAAGTAATAAGGTCATATTTTTGATAAAGTTTATATTGATGTTAGTGACTAATTGCTCTATGAAGAAATAAGATACGGGCAGACATTATTATTATTTTTTTTTGATATTGTTTAGTTGATAGAAATAAAAAGAGTTATATTAGTAAAAGTTTCGTCATTGTTATCATCTTCAATTCGAATGAATTTTATTTGATAGTCTTGCGTTTTTTTTTAGATAATGTCATGTTTAGGAGAAGAATGATTTATTAATAAAAAAAATGTGTTCAATTCAATAAGTCATTGGAATTATGAATGATAATATGGAATTCAAATAGATTCTTTGATTAGTTTTTAATATAAATAAAAAAAAATTTTTTTTAATCAATTAAAAATAATATTTAGTCAATGTAATTATTTTATTTCTAGAAGAAAAATAAAATGGTTGAAGTAAAATTATGTATTACAAAATTGGACGGTGTCAGTGAATATCGTCGAATAGTCATTCCAGTTGTAACATCATCTACAGATATTCTATCAATATTACGTGAAAAACTTTCACAATTCTTTCCGGAATTAATGTCTCCAACAAATGGAATTCATCTTGAATTTCAATATGAAGGTAAAAGTAAAATAATTTAATTTAATTTAAATAAAAATCATTTTTAAAGATGATATTCGTGGTCTTGTATTGGCAATAACACCTGAAGGAATAAATGAAGCTGCACGTGATCAAGCATCTCGTCAACAACTTCTTCGAGTTTTTGTTAAATTTCTAAAAGATGATCATCATACAATGAAATTACTTCCACCAAAACATGTTGGCGTTATTTGTGATGGTTTGAATTTTATTTTTATTTTTATTTTTTATTTAATATTAATATAGGATGTAATCGTTCACCAATAATTGGTATTCGTTATAAATGTCTTGAATGTTTTGATTATGATTTATGTGAAACATGTGCTGATCAACAATTAATTCATACTCATCATGTTATGGCTAAAATTCGAACACCTCATCAAGTATAGTTTGTTTTTTTTTTTTATTTAATTTAAATTTTCTTGTTAAAACAATGTAAATTAGACTGATGTTGTTCGAAAACTTTGTTCATTGGTACGATCAAATTCAATTAATAAACAACGAACAACTGTTTTACCTGAATTAATTGTTAATCAACCAACTGGTATTGAAAAACAAAAATATTATAATTCAATTGAAACCCAAACAATAGTTTTTGATGAAAATCCAAAAGATAAAGAAGAAAATATTGCTGATGATATTGAAATAATTTCAGCTAATGTTCTTCATGATGATTTTGTTCAATTAGATTTAAATGATTATCATGAAGAAGAACATAATGTTAGTTAGATTTATGGATTTTTTTTTCTCTTAGATTAAATTTATCTTCTTTTGTTTAGATTGTCAAACAGTGATTCAATATATTTTATTAGCTATTTGAACAGTACCGATTGATAGTTCTTCTCTATTCATATAGTCGCGATAGATATATATATATATCTTGTAGTTTATCTTCCCCAGTGAGTACTTTATTTCTCATGTGTCTTAATCAAGAAATTGTCTTTAATCGTTTGTCTTTTGTATACATATGATGTTTTATTATATTTACTGACATGCACATACGTTTTGAATATATTTTCGATGTTTGATTCAGCTGTTTGTTTTTTTCAATATCGATCAGAGAGATTAATTATAAGAATGTAAATAAAAACAACATTATATGAAAAAAAATCTTAACAACTAAAAAAACAAATTGAAAGAATT